CTTAGACACATATTCAGGGCATGTGTTAGTGACACCATAGTCTGTAAAGCCGATGACAATGTGTAGGTAGGGGCAAACCAAATAAGGCGATGTTGGGAATGGAGAAATTAATGAAATGGTTCACTGGAATCAGACATTGAGATGCTATTTAGGAAGAAGGTAGGATCTTGTAATGGATACAACTCTACTATTGAAATTAGATACTATTTTTTAGATTCCAGAATTTTAAAAAGTCGTTGTAAGGCTGAGCACAGTAATGTACTGCTGTAGTCCAGGTATATAGGAGGCTGAGGCAAGAGGATTACTTGAGTCCAGAAATTTGGAGCCATCCTAGGCAATATAGATAGACCCTGTCTCTTTAAAAAAAAAAAAAAAAAAAAAACCCAGGTACGTTGGGCAGCAGCGGTGTGTCAGGCTTGGCCTTTCAAAAGTGAAGGCGATGCAGCTCCTGCACCCCAAGGCCCGCACCAGTGCGTGGGTACAACACCAACTGCTCAGTGATTCTCTGCACCTCTCATAAGCCTTTGGCACACTCTCAAGAATTGTAAAAACTGTTGGCATGAAATGGCTGTAAGTAGTAGAGTTTAATTAATATTATTTTGAGGTCAGAAGATTAAATTGATTGTCACAGTCGGCCACTGGGTCTGAGTTGGAAGAATCCAGTCTGAGTAGGAATCACATACCGCCAACTAGACAAAGAATGATGCCCGAGTGTAGTCAGGAGCCCAGGAAGAACGGCTCCATTTTTGACAGGCTGTATCCACAGGAAGCAGAGATAGGAAGTGTTAAGGATGCAGTGTTAGCTGGAGTCTTTGGGTGCAACTCCTGCTTTGTCAGAGACCCCTGAGCTTCTTACAAGGACAATTAAACCCCTTCATACTGTTGAGGGGGTTACAGCCAGCATCTGGCACTAAAGATGTACCTAATAAGCAGTAGTTACTATTATTTAGTAACATGATTATACATCTATCCCCAATAAGCAGGTTAGACAGTAGTGCCATGAAAATGTGTAGATATCGCCAGAGGAGTATGTGATGAGTGGGTGATCTATTTCAGGGCTTATAGTGTTAGTCATCACATAAATAGGAACCAGGTATTCCACTGGATCCACATTTAGGTCTCCTCATCAATCAGCCCGCTGTCATCAGGGTGCATGAGACCACTTGACCACGGGGATTTTTGCCTGGATTCACTGACCAGAAGTTCACAAAGTATGTCCTTTGCAGACTTTGGTCTTGGATTTTGGTCAGGTGTTTACGTTTTAAGGACCTGTTTCTCAGTCATTTTTAGGACAAGAACACAACACAAGTTTGTGTAAAGTTATAACAGGTCTTCCTAGAAAGATCCTCATCACCCATGCTGATTATCCTCGGAAGGGAGAGGAAGCATTGCAGACTTCTCTGAGCCGACTAGTAGGTCTGTGCGGTGTCCCAGCCGAAGGACTATAGTCTTCAGTCAACTGTGTGTGTGCGCTTCAGAGAATGGCGAGACCCTGGGCCTGTGTGTGATGTCTGACTTAGTCCCGTTTGTGTTGCTACAGCACAGGAATTTACCTCTCACGGTTCTGGAGTCTAGGAATCCCAAAGCCCAGCTGCCAGCTTTGATCCGGCAAGGCCCTTCTTGGTGCATCCTTGCAGGGGCGAAGACAAAAAGATGGGAGCTTAATGCTGGCAGAAGCCTCCCCTGAAGGCCTTCATCCCATTAAGGAGGGAGAGCCACCAAAGCCTAATCATCTCTCACAGCCCACCTCTTACTTGTGTCACATGGGCTTCGCCTGCAGTTAGGAGGGGCCCGTGCAAACCAGAGCAGTGTCCCAGAAATGGGTTTTTCTGGACTGGAGCACTACTCTGTCGAGCCTATTCAGAGTGAGGTGCCCCGGCGCTGACCTGGGTTCTGTGAAAGGTGACTAGGTAGAATCCGAGCGCAAGCCCTGCTGCGTCCCTCCCGCGGTTATTTATACCCCTCCTCTGGGAGCAGGAACTATACTTTAGCAACAACCAGGTACGAAGGTAGCGGGTTCCCTCTGGGTGCTTGATCTGGTGTTGAGCTGAGACTCAGGTCACTCTAGCGGGACCTAAAAGTAATTGCTTGTTCACCATTAGACCAGCCATCCGGCTTTAGGGGATTTGTGTGTAAATCTGCAGAGATTTCGCAGCAACCGTGGTACTTCGGTTGGAAGAATGGGAGGTTCTTCTGGGCAACTGTGTGCGACCCAAGTGTCCCCCTCGAGGTGCAAATACGCCCCAATCAGAACGAGTCCTCGGCTCTGCCGTGCCAGTGCTCTTGCTCTGTGTTACTTTTGTCCTTCTTTTTAAGAGAAATTAGCAGCACACACTGTTAAATGTTTCATATGGAAAAAGTACAGCGCTGCTTTCCAAACTTGGCATCAGTTTATTTGCGTTCAGTGGTTATGTAGTCCAGGCTGGCCTCCCATTCATCACCCTTCTGCCTCAGCCTCCCAAGTGCTAGGACTGTAAGTACATGCCCCCACACCCAGCTTTGCTGTCCCGATCTTTGTAAAATGGACAGGCACTGCATTTTTTCCTTCACCAGATGCCGGCCGCGTTGTCTCTTTTGCAAACTGCAAGCTACAAAGTAGGTGCACAGTGACTGGGAAGACAGATACATCCCCACAGGCAGATAGGAAATAACAATGTACATTGTCCTTTAATTGTAATTATGAGTAGTGTTGCAAGAGAAAAATCTAGGGAGCCCGAAGAACCAATAGCACTCATGATGAGAGTGATGGAGCTCGAAGCTATCCCAGCACCTGTGCCACTGCTCGTGTGAACTTGATGCCTGACCCCGGCAGTATTTCCATTGGGCAGATCAGGAAGCCAAGGAAACAGAGGTGAAGCTCTTTGTCTGTGGTGGTGTCATTAATAACACCTCTGAGCCTGGGCTTGAACTCCAGGTGGTCTGACCCCACTTCATCCGTGGGCACTGGCGTCCAAGGGGAAATGGCTTTTCACGTAGGTGTATGAGCATCGAGTGAGCTAGCCAGCACTTTCCCCGGCTCTGATGCTTTGAGGAGGGAAGCAACTAGGACAGAGGAGAACTGAGAAGAGGACTGATGTGCCTGGAGTCCAAGGAATGAGGAAAACGAGCAAAACATAGGGAAAGGTGGGCAGGAGCCAGCGAGGAAGGGCTTGATAGGTGGAAGGGCTGACTGCTGCTTTCTGATTGAGTTAGGTCGGCTCTGACACTGACTGCGCTCCTGTAGAGCAGGCCTTTCCAGGGCCTTTGCATCCCTGGTATGTGAAGACGTGGAGTGGTACTCTCCATAGCCAGCTGCGTTAGTTCAGATCGGTTTGATGTTGTGCATAAGGTATGTACAATAAAATATAGGGTGAATGTTTAAATTTTTAAAAATATATTACAATAATTGATGCCTTGCCATTACATTCCTTCGATCAACTCCCCCTCGCTTTGGACACACCTATCCCACCCTTCTTGCCCATTTCTTCTTTTTTTGTTTGTTTTTTTGTTTTTTTCTGGTACCGGGAATCGAACTCATGACCTTGCACTTGCCAGGCAGGCACTGTGCCACTGAGCTAAATCCCCTGCCCCCTTCTTGCCTATTTCTGAAACGGTTTTGAAAGTTCTGTTTGGTAAATGTCTTTATAAGGTGTGATAGGAATTAGGATGAATGCCGCTGGTGAGTGCCATCCCATGGAAAGACAGGCTCCTGAAAACATCACAGTGTTTCTCACCCGCTTATTCCCTGGATCTGGCACAGTGTGACTTCTGGCTCTTAACCAAAGCCAAAGTGACTGGGAAACGTAACCGTTTTTAATCAATTCAGGCCACCGAGGCAGCCAACACAGCACAACCACCGATGCTCATAAAAGAGGACGTCCAGGACCGCTTGAGAAAGTGGCATGATGGGATGAGTGTGTTCAAAGAACGGGGGAGTATTTGAGGGGAAATAATGGGAATGTGTCTTTTACTATAATACACTCTTAAATGTAAACTCTGACTGTGTTTTTCAATCACACCTCATGCCATATTTGAAGAGCCGCGGGTCTGGGAGATTTTATCTGTTTCATCCACCCGTCCCACAGATGTCTCTCCTGAGCCGAAGTGTCGTACACCTTTTTTGGAAGCCTGCAGAGCTGTATTTCCTTACAGGTTATGTGGCTGCCTGGTCCTGCAGCAGGTTGGGCAGTTAGTAATCACAGCTAACACCAAATGACAAGTCTGCACTGGATGCCTTCCACATGTCCTCCTACTGTAGTCCCAGCTCCGTGAGCTGCCGTCATCCACATTTATCCCAGTAAGACAGATTTAAAGGGGTTAAATGACTTGTCCAAGGTCCCACCAGCTAGTGGGAGTCCAGCCTTGCGCGTAGGTTTTCCTGGATGACGCAGCAAAAGCCCACACAGGGTTCCCTTGCTGCCTGGGACACTGCCCATTTTACGTGTGGAATAGCAATTCTGAGTTAATGATGGAACGGACTAGAAAACTTGGATTTTGCATTAAGTTTCATTCCCTAGGCCAACACTTGAATTTCACAGCAGGGCAGTGGGGACAGGGATGAAAGGAGGAAACAGAAGAGAAAGAACACCGAGGACCTTCACCCTGGGCTAACGCAGGTTACAGATTCACCATCCTGGGAAGATCCTTTACCAGCTCGCCAGCCACGTGCGGAACTGGTCACACAGGCACAGAGAGTCGGGTGGAAAAAGGAAGTGAGCAGACGCGTCTTTGCATGTCAGGCCAGAGAAGTTTGGAAGACAGAACTAAGGGGCAAAACAGAATCATTTTAACATTTACTGTGCCCAGACTGTGCTAGTCACTTATGTAGCCCCCATACAGCCTTATAAAGTTGTCACATTTTTTTTGACATTTGAGGTCATTTGTTTCTTTAAACAGCTTTATGGAGATATAACTGACCTACCATGCAGGTCGCCCAGTTAAACTGCATACTTCCCTGGTTTTTACTATGTTCACACTTTGTGTCCCCATTTCACAAGCGAGGACCAGAGCAAACGCCTCTGGGGGCTTCTCGCTCTTTTATTTTTTGCCCCACTCTGTCCATTCTCATGGTCAGGTAACCAGAGTCACCCTTGTAAGTGTCCCCAGATTTTCTCGCGAGACCCTCCGAGCTTCCGGTGGGTTTTGCAGTGCAGTGACGGGTTCCGTGGTGGCCACAGACTCTAGCAAGCCTCTGGAGCCACCCGAAAGGCTTCTGCACCCACAGGCTGCCGGATGCCACTCCGATTCTCTAATGCCCTCCGGGTGTAGCTGTTGCGGTCTAGGGTCTGCCTTCTGAGACCACTGAGGCCTCCTTGGCCCTCTGACCTCGTCTCCTGTCCTCACTCTCGGTGACCAGGCCCCAGCTGCATTTGCTGCCATTTTTTCTTTAAACTACGCATTCTCAATGGGCCACTCTACTCTCAAGGGCAATGAGAATTGGTTCTGAAAGGGCAAAGAAAAAAATCTTGAGACATTACAATAGTCCCTGGCCCTTCAAAGCTTAATCCTACACAAAAGATGGAGAAAGTATTGGTGCTATTACAATTTCAAGGGAAGAAACGGTGTGTGTATTTCAGGGGGTCTACAAAGTTGATTAAGAGTACAATAATGGGGGAAAAAGTCCTACAGTGTCTTAAACAAAGCAAGCACATTCCTGCCTCAGTGCCTTTGAACTTCTTGGGCCCTCAGTCTGAAATTTTCAGCTCTTTTTTTTTCAGTTCTTCCTAAGGCTCATTCCTCATTGTCATCACAGGTCAAATATTGCCTCCTCAAGTTGCCCTTCCCCGACCACTCTGTCTAAGGTGCCAACTCTCCCACAACACGTCACTCTGCCCCTGTTTGCATGACTGGAAATCATCCTCGTGTTGCTTGGTTTTCTTGTTACTTTTTTTGTCTCCTTCACTAGTACTAGTGAGTCTGGAGGAGGGATTGTTTGGACTCTTGTATGTCACTGTTGAATTGTTAGAGTCTATTATAAAGTCCAGGGCACAGGAAGTGCTTGATAAATATTTGTGAATATGTAAATAGATGCTAATAACATAGCTGATAAAGCGGCAGAGCTGAGATTTGAGCCCAGGGTTCCTTGGGTTTGTTGTCAGAAGCTACCAGCAGAAGAATGAGTTGCAGTTTACCGATGTCTCTGCTCCACCTGTGCGTCCTTTAACAGGCAGGGCAAAGGAGCAACGTTTTTTCCAAATTATTTCACCCCAGTCCCACCTCTTGGGAGAAAATACTCCTATGCTTGATCACAAGTAGGCATAAAGAGGACGGAGTAGGAAACCCCCACAATTTGAAGTGAGGTGTTCTGTGCTAAAGATTACGGTTTATAGCATCCTCCTATTTTATAAATGAGGAAACTGGGACTTGGAAAGCTTAATTCAGTGCCTGTTATGGTTTAGATTTCGAGTTCCCCAAAAGCCTCGCGAGTTCAGTGGTGGAGCTTTGGGGACATGATTGGATGGTGGCTTGCTATACTCGTCCCCTCACGTGCAGCCCCTGGAGGCATAGCCTGGAGGGTGTACCTCCCTCCTGCCTCTGCCCTTCTCTCTGCTTCCTGGCCAGTCGCCTCTGCTGGGCCACTCTGCAATGCTGTTCCTTCCTGTGTTAGAGCCAGGCAACTATGGGCTGAGACCTCTAAAAACCAGAATCCAAATAGTCCTCTCCTCCTTTTGCTTGTGAGTGTTGGGCATTTTCTCCCAGAGAGGAGAAAAGTGACTACAACATGGCCCCAGGTCACACCGCCACTGCTAAAAGAGGATGTGAAGCCAGCCTGTTACCTCTCTGCAGCCTCTCCTGGAGGCTGACACATCTGATTATAGTTCCATCAGTTTTAGTGTCCACCATACCTGACATCCAGAACCTTCTAGAACATTCCCATTACCTGAGAGCTCTCTTGGACATGAATGCAGAAGATTTGTTCTTTTTCAGTCTTGCGTCTGCCCTATCTTGGGAAAGTGGCAAGGTCACTTAAAATGACACAGTTCATGATCCATAAATAAAATAAAAATAAATTCTGGCCACTACAACTGTGGCATGAGATTTAGCCACCGGACGCTCACCTGCCGTAGGTGTGCAGTCAGTCTTTCATCCTGAAGAGCCTGGCACAAAGTAGATATTCAAAAAAATACCCATTCACTGAAGGCAAACAGAACAAAATAATGAATGAAGTCAACGTAATGAAATATGTTCACAGTTTGATGAATGTGGGGTATTTTATAATCAGCAGAAAGAAATGATAAAAATACAAGGTGGTGTTGAAAATTATGGTCGGTCTTTAGTACTAAAAAGTTTATTACATCAGAAGACACATTGCTATTAATCCGCTTTAGAATACTCTGTCTCCCTTTAAACACACTTACCCCATTGTCCTTATTGCTTTCTGAAGCAGCTCTAGCAGTCCTTTCTCAGGAGTGTTGGGTTACTCTGTCCTTGCCGCTTCCATGTCCTGAATCAATTCAAAATATTTACCTTTCATTGTCATTTTCGCTTTGGAGAATAGCAGAAGCCCCTGGGGCCAGATACGGTGAATAAGGTAGATGAGGACACACCATAGTGTTTTCTGAACCTGCCTTTCCATCCAGGGGCACGCAGCTGCAGCACCCACTGCATCGTATATCACACCTCATAAAGACCCTCACAAATGAGGACTTCCAGAACTGCTTCAGAAAATGACAAGAACAATGGGATAAGTATATTCAAAGAGAGAGGAAGTGTTTTGAGAGTTTAATGGCAATATATCTTACTGTACCAGATTTTTAACTTAAATATTTACTGTATATTTTGATCATAGCTCATAGAATGATGCCCAGGTACAGGGGGAAATATTCTTGGTTGCCCTGACGCAGTTGTAGTTCATAACCCTACCGCGTTTGCAGAGGGAGAGACACATGTGAATTTCCTTAGCCGCTGAGCAGAACTCAAATTGGCGGAAACACAAAAACAAAGACAGCCATGGAACAAAACGGAGAGTTTTACAAACATTTCTAATGATCTGCCAAAATATTCGTGGAAATCTGGAACGAGCAGAGCTTGTCTGACTCTCCAAGCCCATCTTTTCTTTGCCCACCTTTCATCCTTGTCATAGGAAGCACTTTCCTTGTTTAAATAAATCACTTTTCTGTGATAAAAGTCTTCCCTGCTCCAGTGCATGAAACCCTCCAGGACTCTAAAGGGGTGACAGTAGTTAGAATAATAGTTCCCAAGCCAGAAAAATCAGAGCTTTTTTTTTTTCCTCTGGGGCTGTTGTAAAATTCTCCAGTTTTTAAAAAAGTGCATTTATTTTCATTGACTTCAGTGTAATAAAAGGCCTTGGGGGCTGGCAGCTGAGCCATGGAGGCCTCTGTAAGCGAGAGAGAGCCCTGCACTTTCCCCAGAGCGCCCCAGGTCAGGAGAGCTGCCTCGCTTCATGATCTCACATTCCCAGCACAGAAGCCTTCCCACTGTAACAGGCACAAAAGGAAGCTTTGAGCCTTGGAGCTGGCTGATGAGGTGAGACTGAAAAATATGCTGAATGATTAGATCTTTTGTATTATAGAAAAAGACAGGGGCTGGAGATTTAGCTCAGCAGCGCAGTGCCTGCCTGGCAAGCGCAAGGTCGTGAGTTCTATTCCCGGCACTGGAAAAAAAAAAAAGACACATTGCCATTAATTCCCCTCAAAACACTCTCCCTCCCTGTGAGCACACTCATCCCATTGTTCTTGCCACTTTCTGAAGCAGTTCTGCAAGTCTTAATTTGTGAGTGTCTCGTTGCGTCTTGGCTGCCTCCATGTCCTGAACTGATTTAAAACCTTTACCTTTCGTGTCATTTTGCCTTTGGGGAAGAGCCACGAGTTTCACGTCGCTGATGCGGTGAATAAGGTGAGGGGACACACTGTAATTTTTTTTTTTTTTTACCAGACTGCCTGGCATTGGATGGCACTCAGCAGCAACACTCACCATAGTTTCGATCACACTGCACCAAGACACAAGAGAACGTTCAGAACTGCTTCAGAAGGTGGCAAGGATGATGGGATTAGTGTGTTTGAAGCAAGGGAGGGTATCTGAGAGGGATTAGTGGAGACCTGTCTTTTACTGTAGTAAATTTTATTTAAACATTCACTGTATATTTGATCACACCTCATATATGACAGTGTGTTTTAACTTTGCTGTTCAGCAAATACTCTTGGAAGGGGCGGGGACCATCCGGGAGTGCAGACTGAGGGAGCTTTCCGACTGGAAGTCTGTGCTCTGCGTAGCTCTGTGCCCTTAGAGAAGTCCCATCCCTTGCTTGGGCCTCAGTGGTCACTCTTGAAAAATGGGAGCATAACCTTTGTAATGCTCAGAGGAGGAAAAAGAGGTGAAAGTAATTCCAAAGTTTAGGCACCCCAGGCAAACAAGGTGACAGTGGGGCATCCAGACCAAGTTCAAATGTGGTTGTGCTACTTGCTTCTTTCTCTTCTTCGGGGTTCAAGGATAGAGTATAACGGCTCACCTCCCACCCGGCACTCAAATGTGGCCTTTGACAGTGTCTGATCCCAAGGAGTCTGCAGCAGTAGCTCAGCTTTGAGCTAATGAAAGTGTAATATTAGTAATAATTCTATCAAGGCTCCAATGAAATGTCTCTTGCACAGGGTCGCACAGGACCTGTAGACCACACTGGGGTTTATACCCAGACCTGTGCTTTGGCCGTCCCTATGCTTTAAAAGAATATTAATAACAGCTGCTCTTTCAGAACTGCTCATAGTACACTAGACAAAATTATCCCCATCTTACTGCAGCTACTTAGAGAGGTACGTGACTTGCCTGAAGTCACCAGCTAATTGAGACAAGGCCGGAATCAGACGTCATGCTGTCTGGACACCTGAGGGCTGAGCAGCCAGCCCCCCGCTCAGGTTATTCCCTGCCTAAATGTGATCAAAATTCCGAATTCTAAAATCCAGTCACTTTCAGGGGAAGTTTACACAATCCCACTGTCCAGGAAGACACTCTTCCTTCCCTCTCTCTTCCCAAACACTGCACCACAGAAGTGAACGTCAGCAACAGCACCAAGGCGGGCCACGGGGGAAAACATTTGGTTCCCTGGATACAGCCCAGTGCTGGGTGAGATTTCCTCTCACGAGTCCCTTCTGTGGGGGCAGAACGGAACTGAGGGTAGAAAAGAGCAGGAACTAAAGCGAGCAGAAACTTGCCGAGGGAGCAGAATGCTACTCGATCATTTCTGCTTGTGAATGAAAAAGCTGTAAACAGCTTCCACAGAGGCTTTAAGGTCACAGCAGCCCTTGTGAGCAGGAAAGAGATTGCAGAAGGAGAGCAGCACACAGCTGGAAATTCAGTGGCAAATGAGTCCAATGTCACACTGTGTACCTTGAATATATACAATACGTGTGTGGTGCTAGGGGTTGAACCCAGGGCCTTTGCACTGAGCTAGGGCCCCAGGCCCCTTTCTTAGTTTTATTTTTCATTGGATACAGGGTCTCACTAAGTTGCTAAGATTCCAGGCTGGGCTCAAACTTGTGATCCTACTACTCTCCCTGAAGCACTAGGATTGCAGGCATGCACCACTGCATCTGGTTACAATAATTTTTTAAAGAATATATAGGCAAAGGAATCACTAAGTTGCTCATGGGACTTGAACTGTAGAAATAGGTAGAAAAGTCCAAACTGAAATAGGAACTAGAAATAAAGGTAAATTTGTTCGTTCATTCATTCATTCATTTTGCGAATATTTACCATGGTCCGCAATGGGCTAGGCACCATTTTAGGTGCTCTCCGTAAATGAGCTGCACCCTTTTTGTAAAGGAACTTACATTCCAATGGGAAAAGAATGAGAAAAGCAGATGGTGCAGTGTTTGACAGGGGGGTTGGTGTCCTGGGTCAGGAGACCCTGATCTGTGGATTTACCCATAGTACAATGGTACAGGATAATGATCCGCTCCATTTTTCATGTTGACTTCTTTTGCCGAGCTCCATTTTTGGCATGCATAAGCACACATCCTGATTTTAAAGACAGCCAGAAATAAGCCCTTCTGAAGTTAAGAAAGCCAGCTGTAAACACAGTCTGGTGTTGAGGACTCTGAGTTTTCATCTTTTCTCGTGGTCTGCCTGTGGCCTCAGCACCCTCAAAAGTGCTCCGAACTTTACACTCTCCCCAGACATCCTCCTGCCCTTGAACTTTGTGAGTGGCACACCGCAGGTGTTTCACAGGGTGCTGACTTGTAGCATGTACCACTGTTTTTGGTTTAGACGCTCTCACCTCCACCAGTTAGCTGAGTTGGGGTAAGATGAGCAGTATCACCTTATTAGATTGTGTAGTTTCCATACCCACTCAGCAAACATGAATATCCTCAAGCGGAAAGATAATAATAAAGAGACAGCAGACTGATTGGAAAGGGAGGAGTTTTAGCTCCATTACTTTTGTTTTTCATGCATGTCTTTTTCAGTGAGTTTATACATGCACTTTGATGTTAATATCGGCTTTGTCTAACATTCTGCAGCTCAGTCTGCAGGAAGGACAAGGAGTTTCATGACTAAATGCTAAAAGCCTCTAAGTTGAGAGGAAATGTTTGATTTGCAGTGGTAGAAGAAGATCTAGATATCAAGAATTTTCTGGAAGGACTGTAAGGCTAAGCAAAATAAATCAGGCATGGAAAATTAAATATCACATGGTTTTTCTTATATGAAAAGCCTGAAGTGTAAATAATTTAAAGACCAAAATGAAAGATAAACAATGGGAAACAATGAAGTAGACCTTTTGCAATTGGGAAGGGGACCTAGGGATGGGTGGAAGGGGGGGAAGAGGAAAGGGGAAGTAAAAAAGGACTAAAATGAAACATGTCTATGTCACTTTTCTCGTTGCTGACACAAAATACCCAACACCCGTAGTTAAAGGAGGAAAGGTTTATTTTGGCCCACAGTTTGTAGAGGTTTCAGTCCATAATCAGCTGGCTTTAAGGCCGGGTGGCACATGGCAGAGGGGCATCGCAGAGGAGAAACAGTTCATGGCAGGCAGAAGGTAACAAAGTAGCAAGCAGCAAGTGACCACTGCAGCCCTCTTTCTATCTCTTAGGCTGGGTAGCACTCACACCCAGCGTGGGCCTTACCATTATCCATTCCCAGAACTATACCAAGGCTGTCAGTGGACTAATTTAGTATTCACA